GAAAAGGGAGCCAAATTCTGCCTGAATTTCTGCTTTACGGAGCTGTAGTGCTGCTTGCTGGGGTTGGGGGAATCATAAGCCACAGGAGTACTTAGCCTACTGCTTTCAACAGCTTTACCTGTGATGTTGAAGGGTCTCAGAAAGCTTCCTACCTGGTGGTCCATCAAATCCCAAATTTAGTCTGACTGTTGCATGGCTACTGTAGCTGTTAGAGGACTGGGCCTTTTCATTCTCACGTTTTACTAGAAATGATTTTCTTTGCTAGTAAAATCATTGTAAAGAGAAATAATTTTCACTTGCTGAAGTTAAGGCTAACTTTTGCTGTTCATTTTAATATTTTCTCCATTTTAAAGTAATGGTGAGGTCTTTAATGATACCTTTCATCCAGAAATCACAGAACATTATGTAGGGGGTGACAAGGTAAAAAAGATTCACTTCAGGGTGGCAAACTGAGGCATAAGGAGCCGAAGCACTGGCTTGGGTAACGCTGTGGTAAAATGGGAGTAGAGGGAGTAGGAGCCCTGAGCCGCCACTCTCCATGTGTCCAGCAAATRTCACTGAGCAGGCTCTGGGCCTTAGTGTCTGTCTTCATCTTCTGAGTTTGCTAATGGTTTTCCTTGCTGCTCTTTACAAATGGGAAGAGTTGACAAACGGAGGGGTCATTGCTTCGCATAAACAGCCCAGGAGGTTCGTCCCTGCACAGAGAGGCTAGAGGAGAGTCTCGCACACTTGCACATGGGTTGGGATTGCGGTAGGATTCGGCTCTGCGGGGGAGCATCCAAGTGCAGCTCTGTCCTCCAGGCCGTCGTTGGCCGGATGGGAGCTAGAGGAGGCTCCTGTCGGGATGCTGCAAGATCAGTGAATGCTGTGCAAACTYGGGAACAAAAGCAGGACTTGCAGTCTCTTGAGTGCAGCCTTTCTGAAATACTCAAATTTGCTGTCTTACCAGTTCCGTTTGTTTCTCTTTTATTTCCTTTTCTATTCTATCTGACTGAAGAGCAGAAAAGTATCTTATCTGCTGCTGTGGCTCCTCACTGAGCATAGCGTCTGAATCAGAGTTAGGTTTTAACCTATGGCACAAGAATTGTTGTGTTTATCATCTCTCTTTATATTACGTTTGCCCTGCATCTCTCTTTTCYCTGCAACTCTGATTGTCTCTTGTTTAGGGTGAGATTGGCCGTTCACTCAGCTACAAAATCTCATGAGCAGCCCTGCAAGTTGGTGGTATCCTCTCATTTTTACTGTAGAAGAAACCCTCAAGCTCTCAAAAATTACTTCCTCGTACAGTAGGGTGTAAATAGACGAGTATTTAGCTGGTGTGAGCTGTAAACTGGTATACAATTTATGTTGTATTTACCCTKCCTTATTTTATCCTCTCCATCCAGAGCTAAGAGAATTGCATGGCTATTGGACTCAGAGCAGCAGCTGRAAGCCGCCCTGTTCAGAGTGAAATGGTCTGTGCATGATCACAATTGGTTAAAAAACACGTGTTTTAATGCAGGGCTGCGTGCTGTACTCCTATTTTTTAATAGGAARTACGCACTTTGGGAAGAGTCAGCATATCACTGTTACTGGTGAATCCTTCCAAGGCTGTACTTTCAAGAGGATGAAAGAGCAGCAACTCGGCGTAGCTGAAGGTGGACGCAGACAAACTGGCTGGGCCATCAGCAGAGCTGTCCAGCTGCGTGCAAGGCTCTGAGGCCCCTCCAGACCCACAGGCCTGACCGCCTCGCGGGCCCGCCAGGGAGCCAGCTGCTCCTAATAAAGCCGACTCTACAACTTGGCATCTGGGGCCTGCGAGTCGCGTCCAGAAGGAATTGTATGTAAAAAGATCTAGATATATCTAAATTTTMTCTCTTTTAAATACTGTTTTGCCCTGGGAGAAAAGGGAAGGRAAAAAAAAGCTTCGGACTAAACTTACGACAGGCGAAAAACCTCCCTAAGAATGCAGCGGTTGCCACGGGAGGAAAAATCCCATTCTTGCGTAAGGGGGTTGGATTCTGGAAGGAGGAGTGTTGTTCCTTTTGTGAGCAAGCAGCCTTCTGGTTCAGCATTTCTGGGTTACTGAGTAAGAAAGACCGAGGTGCCTGCTTGTGTGTGCTCAGCTCTATGGGCTCGCGTGGGCTGCTGCGTTTCAGGGGGCTCTGTGGAAAGGCTTAAGCACAAGGGTGCGTTCCCGAGGGCTGGCTAAGCTTTRGACTCGGCAACTTCTTGCTTTTAAGTAATAAAGGAAAGGAGAAGTTTCATTTATTTTTCAAAGATGGAAGCAAATCCTATTAGCCAGCCGTGCTAAACTAATTGCCTGCTTAGAATGATCTACAGACCAGTTGGATCCCCCCACATGAGTAATGAAGCGTAGGAGCTGAAAAGCGAGTCGGGCACACTGGTTATTTGAAAAATTAGCAGTGAAGTCAGCTCTGACTTGCAGCTCCCTTTTGAAGCGAAAGTGGGTAGATTTTGCATAGCATTTTTCTAGCCAAAGTTTTTTCTCCAGCTCCTGCACTTGGCTGTGTTGCCAAAGTCTCTCCCTCCTGGCTTTCTGTAACTGGTGTCACAGGGTTTGGATCCAGCCTGGATCATAGGCTCTTTGTGACTAATATGGTGGAGAAGTTGAAAGAGAAGTTGAAAGAGATGTCTCTGGACATCTCTCTCAAGTCAAGATGATTCTTGAGATGTCAAGTGATGCCTGTGCGCAGCACCCAGGCAGCTGGGTGCCCTCCTGGGCATCCATCAGACCCTGGCAGCGAGGGGGCTATACCTGGCGTCCTCCTTGGGTCTCCGTTCATTGCTTTCACTGCTGTTATTACATGGAAGGTTAAGGAGCAGACCCTTCTGTCCTCATCTGGAGGTGACAGGCATCCTCCTGCCCTCGGTCACGTACTCGTTGCTGCAAGGAACCCAAATTCAGAGCTGGCTTCTGCGCTGAAGCTCTTAGCCTGGCAGCTGGCCAGAAGATGTCATCAGCCTTGGAGCAGGCAGTTTTATAGCTTGGATATGCTTGGAAATTACTACGGGCTGYGGCGGTCGCGGTGTGTTAGTGAGGAGGGTTCAGGCTGGTAGTTGTGGTGGATCTGAGCCCTCTGAGCAGTGGCTGCCCCTCTACCCATCTCAGAGCTCCTCTCTGGGCATTGCAGAGGACAGGGATGTGTATGTTCACCTGCTGTCTGAGCTGGTCTTGCTCGAGAAACCCATCCTGCGGCCTCCTTCTCGATGAATATGAAGGGTTTCTTGAGAGCTGTGGCCTTAAAGTCGGTGCAAGTGTAATTCTGATTTGCTTCTAGGTCCCCTTACAGCTGACCAAGGGGGATAAAATGGCCTAAGCTTAAATTAGAATTAGGCCCCTAGTGCTTCCTTCTGTGTGAGGATAAAGATCTTTTAATAGAGTGAAAATTGCTCTTTATATTCTAGAGGTGTATTTCCACTTTTTCCCCCTGCCACCCCTAGCTTATTAACTTGGTGTGAGAATAGGCCATTTACTCATTATCCCCTGCTATGACATATATAATACTAGTAATTAATAATTAAAGAATATAGCACCGTCCCGGCTTGCAGAAAATTCTCTCTCTGTCTTGCGCCACTTGCACGCAGTCAGTGCGTATGTAAGACGTACAAACGGGGACAGAGACAGGGCAGCACAAACTGCCTTGGCTTTATATTTTTTCATATCGCCAATGCTTGTTGCAACGTGTGAAATAACCCCGGGCTGTGTCCTGAGCTCTTCCCAGGCTAAAGCCAGGCGCTCGCCGCTGTTACCTTTGCCTCTCAGCGRCCCCGGCGTGTCCGAGGGCTAAATATAGCCCAGCACGGCTATTCTGGGAGCGGCGCTTCCAGGTCGCAGCCGGAGGTTGTGCTCYCGGCTGCCAAGGTGGCCCTGCTGCTTCCCACTTCTGTTTCTGGGAAGGACCCTGGAGCGGAGCGCTGGGCAGCGCCATCCGTGCGTGCCCAGGGCCCAGCCTCCGCAGCGTGCGTGTCCGGCTCGGGATGCGGGGAAGGGAGCCGTCGCCTGCCGGCATGAGGAGCACGCTGTGGTTTTTGGTGGTAGATTTTTTTTTTTTTTTTTTTTTTTTAAATCAGACTGTTTTTTTCCCTTTGTAATGGGTCCTACTTCGGTCCCATTATCCCCAGACCAGATTGCCGAGCAGCTTGTATGTTCTGGCGCTTAACGGGGTGTTCCTGGTGCTGGTTCAAGTGAGGGAAATGGGGAAGAAGGTCAGGAAAGGGAGCACGGGATCTTTGCAAGCACTGTGCTTTATATCTTTCCTCAAAGCCTTCGAGCTTCTCCTGTGGTGAAGTCCAGCTTTACCTATCGCTTATGCTCCCCKTAAGTGCTCTGTCCTTTCTTAATTCTCCTAGATCAAGGGACTTGTTTGAAAGAGTTTCAAGCTACTGGTTTAAGTATATCCATTTCTCAAGGTTTGTTATGGTAGGTGCGTAATCACAGGCACCAAAGTAGGACTGTAGAAAGGGCCTGCTCTCTAGCAAAGGCTAAACTACTTATCTCTCTCAAGCCCTGTTTTCCATGGTGGAAGGCATCCATGATGCCAAGGTGTCCATAGGGTTCTTGCTGCTTCCCTCAGGGTTACTATCCCTTTGCCACCTGTACTGGATGCCTCACATGGTTAGAAACTCCTTATTCAGCTTTGAAATYGCTTAAAATTGTCTTAAAACCTTCTTGAAGCATTTTAGGTTTATCTTTCATGCTTCACACAAACTACTCCAGTGCAGCCGTCATTTCAGAGCCTCATTTTGTCATCTGGATGACAAAATGGGGAATCTAGGTGCTTTAATTTTAGGTTGAGGAGTCAAAACCACACTTACTGCCTGAATCGTCTCTCCCTCGCGTTGGGAAGGGCAGCCYTAGGTGAAGGGTTGGGATGGGCACCGCGGGTGACTGGCAGGGTGAGAATGCCCTTAATCCTGAATTCCCTCAGTAAAGCCCTGGAGTCTGGGATGCTTTTGGCTTCCAACCAAGACCTCTGTTTTTGTGTGTTTGCTTTCAGCAGTCCTATGCACCAGCTCCTCACCCCATGGCTCCTCCCAGCCCCAGCACAAACAGCAGCAACAACAGCAGCAACAACAGCAGCGGCGAGCAGTTGAGTAAAACCAACCTGTACATTCGAGGCCTTCCACCCGGCACCACCGACCAGGACCTTATCAAGCTGTGCCAGCCGTAAGTGCCCTCAAAATATTGCGTGTCTTCTGCTTTGGCTGGGGTGTGCCTGTCACCAAAATGCATGCGAATGTCCTCGTGAGGATGGCATCCTCCTCAGGTCGCCTACAAGATTGTRGGCTGACTGCTGTGTCAACCTGTTGATGACTGTGGTGCGAGCAGATAGTGAAAATGAGTTTCTGAAATGAGTTCTGAAAATGCATTTTGGGGGTTTACAGAGGTGAAGAGGGTCTTCATGTTGACTGTGTTTATTTTTATCTTAAAAAAGTGAAAAAACGCATCAAGAAAAACTCYCCTAATGGCAGATTTTATAGCTGGAATAATCTGTGAACCATAAATGGAGCACAACGAAATATGGGCGTTCCCATCTACATCGTTTATCACTTCTTTTGATTGCTGTGTCACACATTGCTGGGCTTGGAGATAGTAGAGTATGAAACCAAGTAGAGGCGGCCTTGTCGCAAACATCTAATTAACTGTTGTTCCTTTGAAAAGTGATGGTGTTGCAAGTATCACCTTCTAGCTCTCTTGCAAGCATGACTCTAAAATCATATTTGCAAACTTCCTTGCTAAATCCCAGGTTTATTGTGGTTAATTCCTGTTAACACTGGAGTGGCAGCAGAAGAGAGATCTTGATTCCTCGTGCGTCCTCAAGCGAGCTGTTACCTAAGACGGTGCACTCAGTTACCCCTGTTCAGTGGATTGAATGTAAGGAGTAATGTGGACAGAAATGAGACCCTGCTTTGATTTCCAAAGTCTTGAGTATTACTGATAATATGTGAGAAGGGAATAATCCAGTTTGAGATTCTAGGTAGAGACTGCCTGGCTAGAATTTAGGAAAATGACTTTTTTTGTAGTAAAGTAAGAACACAGAGATTAACAAAAATTCTATGTTACAGGCCAGGCTCTGCAGTGCTTTTCTCATAGAATAGGTTTTTTTTTGGGGGGGGTGGGGGGGATTTCTTTTTTCTCCTCAAAAGAGAACAGCATCTCTGAGGCTTTTCATTGAAAACTGGCATTTCAACTTGGGATCAATAAATGGATGTTGATAAAATAAGAAACAGTCTGAGGYTGATCCAGTGACCTGAACTCAAATTGCAGCTGCTTCAAAGTTTTCAATCGGGGTAAAAAATTAAAGTGATGTTCCATTTTATAGCATTTTGCACTTCCTGATTTTGCCCGTAAGTGCTAAAGAACTATTCTAAGTGTGTTTTATCCAGAAAAGACTTCCTTCTGCTATCTATCTGACAGTAGGAGGAAAGCCTTCACTGGAATAATTCCTGAATTTGTGAATAGTCATGCGAGCATGGGACTCTTCTCTGTGATGGTATTTCACAGTTATCTCTACTAAAATCTCAACAAGTGGAATGTGTTTAGTGTCTCCRGGATTATAGGATCCTGGTGGTTTTTCATATTCCATGTGAAAGTTGGAGTGCCAGTGTGCCGGCCTGACGTTTGCACAATCTGTAGTCACTGATACTTTCTTCTGGATAATCCCAGTTCAAGGGCCAGATCTTCAGCGGGTATAAATCGGCTGTAGCCCTGTTAATATTCACAAAGCTGTTCTGATATCTGCTTATAGTCTGATCCTTTCTAGGTTCAGATAAATGCTGTCATCAGAGCAGCTCATCAGGGATGAGGAGTCTCCAGGAGCCTCACGGCTTTGCTGTTTAGTGCTGTCCTCAGTGGTGTGGGGCYCAAGTCCGCTGTGGCATGAACATTGAGCCATGAAATGTGGAGAGCATCTCCTGCTCCCTCTCTGCTTATGGGAAATGCCCAGCAGACACCTCAGAGCTGCGTCTCACAGCAATGAAATCCTGCGGGCATTCCACCAACCTTAACCTGCTGTTGGAGTACAGGGTCTTGTCTGGCTCTCATGGAGTTCCTGGTGCACAGATGCTCCTTAAGAGGCATATGGACCCTTAGGTTGCTGATTTTTGTGTCATTGGCTCAATGGAAGTGAGGAGAAGCCAGCTGTGTGTGTGGTTTTCTTCAGAAGACTGCAAGTATCAAAACAAAAGGGACAGATACAGGGAAAACAAAGCGTGTAAAAGTGTAAAAAATACAGGAGTTTGACATGGCAGCATGTAGTTTTTTAAAGTAGTATGCAGCAAGGCCTTTACAGATAGCTATGTGGTAGAGATGGATAAAGGTCCAGATCCTTAGTTTGTTGACTATGCTTTCAAATAAATGCAGTGCGTAGAGCAGCAGTCCACAGGATTTGTTAAAAAAAAAAAAAAAAAAAAGACTGTTCAACAGTGGAAATTATTCTGCAAAAATCATCCATTTGTGCCTTTAGAAATGGATGCCTTCTATACAGCGCCTTCTTAGCTCAATTCTGACTTACATCAGCGGGGCTTTTCTTCATTCGAAGGAAGGATAACAAACATGGCAAAAGCCTTCATTGTTAGGGGAAGCAGGTATGCACAAAACAGTAGAAGCTCTTAGCTTGTAGGGTTCTTGGATGGAAATATCAGCATAGCTTGCAGATATGAAGTGATAACATGCCCCCATAAACCATACCACTTCTCTTTGCAGTGCCAGTGGTAGGAAGGGCTGCATTTGGGAGGCGTACTCGCAAAGTCCCGCATACGCCCAGGACACCAGCCCGCGCAGGCTGGCTGCCAGCACCTCAAGGGAGCCCTTCTGAACCCATCTCCTTGGCCCAAACGTGTGACGAGGCTGCCAGCAGTGCAACTGTCACCTGCTATTTCTGTCRCTTGGCAGGTTGAAGAATAATGTTATAAAAACGCAGTCCTTCTCCCTTAGAAGTATAGGGAGTGCTGGAAATGCTTGTGGCTATGTACATTTATTACAGCCCTTTCTAGTTCCAGGTTTATTCCAGCAAGAAAACTCCCACCTAAGTGACATGTAATGTTTTTTAATTATATTTTTGTTGTGTGGCTGCAGAATAGGTCACTCTATCAGAAGTGTTCAGTGAGGGAAGGGGCTGTCTCGGTGAATCCTGACTGCTTTTCCCTGTTTCTGCTGTGAGGCTGCACATGAAACAAAGCAGCAGCCTGGAGTTCCATTGATGCCTGAAGTGCAGAGTCCATTACACACCATGTCAGACGTTTCTGACAAATGTTCCAGCACTATCAAACCTTTTATCAATTTAAGAGTAACCTTGTCACAGTAATCTGTCAAACTGTTCATATAACTAAAGGAAAACAAGTCATCATAGGCTGCACTGTAACCAAGTAAATAAATAATAAAATAAAGTGTCCCTGGAAGATTTTCTTCTTGTATGGTTGTGATCTGCAATATCTGTTTTAACATGTGTCCAGAAAAGTTGCATCAGACTCTTTTGCAGCTGAGAGCTATTAGGTTGCACTGGATCTTTTGGGACTTCATACAAGGCACTGTCAAAGGTTACGCTGAAAAAGAGTGAGTAGGAATGTGTAGCAAGCAAGGACAGGATGTTCTTTTAGGCGTGTATCTTCTGCTGTATTTTCAATGAAATTGGAGTAAAAATGCTTTCAAAAAACTGAAAAAAGGAGACGAGGCGCAGGTGGATTCGTATGGCACCTGTGGTGTATCCATCCCGTATCATATTGATCAACCAAACATGATATTCTAAAAATCTGAATTTAAGCACTCCATTAAAATATTATTATTATACCATTAGGATTTAATTTTGAGATATATAGCCTGTGTACMGTCCATTGATACAAACCATTATACGTGTGTATTCTTGGTTAAAATATGCCTGTTATCAAAAGAAAAAGATATTCAACCTTAAGATGTAAAATTCATAGATTATAGGCACAAACATGTGTAAAGACTTTGCTGTGCAAGCAAAATACAAAGGATTATCTCTGAAAAAAAATGCAACCCATTCTTATTTTCATGCACAGTATTGTATTTCATTCAGAAGAATTCCAAGCTTCTCTCAAAAACATACACAGGTCTCTCAGTCCCCTGTTGATGCACTGGACATCACGTATTTCTGTTTGCACATTCTTGCTAGCTAGATCCCCGTGGAGATTGATTGAAAGAAATCTCAGATACATATTAAAATTTTGAGCTCCATTACTTTAAAATATTTTAATTAAAAGAAAAATTACAATTGCTTTTGAAATAATTTGATCTTTCTGTCTTTTCTTACATGTTTGCACTGAACAAGGCTCTAACCCCTAACTTCTGAAAAATATAAGAGAGAAGGGTGTTTGGGGAAAAGAAGTACAGTTCTTAGTTTTCTTTCCCTGCGACAACAAATAATTTGTGGAAAAGAAGTTAAGTTCTGTCACTATAAATAATTTTGAAAAGAAAGTTTGGATTCAGTATCTTATCACCCTTACACAGGTTATGTCTATATACCCTATGTCCAGGGTAAGATTAGAGGAGTTAATCAAAATATCTGTAGCACAAATAGTTAAACCTAAGGAGTGCAAGTCTGTTTGTTAGTTAGGCTGACTCTTGTAGCAGATGAACCAGAATCTTACAGCTCAGTGTTTTTCCACGTATGGGCAATCCCTGCTGAATTGTCATTGTCATGAGTACTGCTTTCTCTCAGTAGTTTTTCGATCCATATTTTGTGTGAATCATCCAAGTCTGTCTTTCTTTTCCCCTTGCTGAAGGTATCGTGAATTTCTCTCCTTGACAAGTCATCAGGTTTCAGTTTTTAGCCTGTCGTTCGACTCTGAACGTCCTTGTTTGTGTCCCTGTGGAACCTCTGAATAAATATTCAGCCTGTTCCCGTTTGGATTCTACTAAAGGGCTAGCCCCAAGGATAATGTAACTGAGGTTATTAGTTGAAAATGCACACATTACTTAAAATGAGGACTATTTCTGAAATGAACTCTGTATATTCCTTTWGCCCCAGCAGAAACCTGCTGAATTCATTGAGGTTTTGAATGGGTCCAAGGTGCCTTTGAGGACAGGAGCTTTTGCTCATAGATACAACAAATATAAAATCCATCCATTAGAGTCAACTGTACAGCGAGCTCTTGATGATGGTACAGCCATTTCTGCCATGTTTGAAGACAGCAAGACTTTTA